ATATATATATATATATGAGTGTATTAGTATATGGGTAGAAGATGTCATAATCATTCTCACATATCACAGATGATGGATTTTGTGGCCTTTTCTGTCTGTTCCACAACCATTGGTTCCTCATGAGGTCTTCATTGAATAGAGATATAAGGTGTTTTTTCTTACTTGTTGTTCCTTCTTTCTCTGACGTTGTATCTCTGTTAGTCTTTTTGATCTTTGAATCGTAGTAAAGATTTGCATTTAAATTCTTTTATATAATTAAGCCTTTTTTTAATATTAATATCTAGAAATCACGTATATGACAGAAAATTTGCAAAGACACAAATATGCCAATAACATGTTACAATTGAGAAAAGCGAACAGTGAGGGATATGTATGTACATTATGTTATGTATATATGTAATACGGTTAAAGCACCACTTATATAATGGATAAATTATCAACTTTTGAACTCTTTAATCGAAAATTCAAATCTATATGATATATAAAAGAGATAATGCCCTTTAATTTTGACATTTTTCAGACATTTATATCTTTTTATTATATATTATTTTTTTCTCACCATTATATGTTATAAAGTTAAAATAGAAAATAAAATATGTATAAAAAAATAATTAATCCTATCAAAAATGATTATTCTCTTAAGATTATTTTACTATTTTTCAATTATATATTACACCCAAAATCATTTTAGCTATTATAACTTGCAATTTTCTCGATCAGAACAAAATTTACACCGTAACTAGACTTGACATTTTTATTTTTATTTTTTTGCCAATCAGCCAAACAAATTTTCTTTTCCTTAACATGCAATTCACAGTGTCACCAATTAGGAGATACATGCAATGCAAAGTGCAAACGAAAATAATTAAACGCTTGTGTATTTTGAACACCAAATTAATTTTCATAAAACACCTCGATAACACTTCACTTTTCATTTCTAATTATTTTGTTACCTCAATCTTTTCACGTAGTACACTAGAAGAAGGAAAAGATAATGTTTTAAGGATGTCTTGAGAAACATTCATGTTAATGAAAGAAGCAAAAGAAAGCTTGTAATAATAAAAAAAAATGGAAGTTAATTTATTGCGATTTTAACCCAAGCAACAACAAAACCTTTGGTTTTTTGTGTCCTCAGTCTTGGAAGAGCACAATATTGTGTGTGTTGCAGAAGATATACAAGAGGTCTACGTAGGTTATATCCTCCAACTAATAGACGATACTGAATTCATCATGCTCATGCATCGGTCAAGGGTCAAGGATCCTAGAGGATTATCCTACACATCTTCTGAATAAAAATAAGAAAGCAAAAACGAAATGTTGGTTCTCTAACAAGGCCTGCCAACGAAGCAATCTAGGGCACCAGCATGGCGTGTGAGCCTGCTAACGTGAGTGCCATCTCTGGGCTTCATGATGAGACCCTTGTTGTACGTCAACTTGATCGGTGACCCTGAAGAGATGAAGGTGGCCCCGTTCATGAAGAGGTCCATTTCAGATTGCCACTGCCAATTCTTCCACACATCGGGTTGGGCGTAGTCTCGGTGCGTGATCACCTTCGCGGCGTCGTTGTTGGGAGCGATGAAACGGTTTCCTTGGCTCAGAATGGTTGGCCCTGAGCTTCCTCCGATGGCGTACATCATCCAGTGAGTGTAGTCGTTGTTGAGGACGTGCACGAACCCCCACCTGCACCTCGGCATCCTCTGAATCAAACCCTGCCCGAAGTGGTTGAACGCCACTGTTATCTGCATGATCTTGTCCTTGTCGTACATGTCATTCGCACCGAACAGCATGACATCGTTGTGTTTCGTCATGTGGCAGTTTGAGATGGTGATGGCGGTCGAAGCCTGGATCACGTCGATGAGGCCATCGGCGCAGTTAGAGAGGGAAACATGGTCGATCCAAATGTTGGAGGCTCCGAAGATGGAGATGGCGTCGCCGTCGCTCCTCGTCCTGAACCCGACGTGGTTGTACGAGTCTCTGATCATGCCACCGTCCTTCGGGACAACGTTCTTGATGCGGATTCCGTGGACGATGACGTTGTTCACGAACTGCATCGTTATGCCAGCGCCGTCCTTTATCTGAACGTTGGCGCCGCGGCCGTCGATGGTCTTGTCGGAGGAAATCATCAGCTCCTGTTTGAGAGTGATGATCATGCTGCGCTGGAACGTGATCCACAGTGGGCCCTGTTGGGTCACGCCGTACCGGAGGGTTCCGGGCTTAGGGTTCTCCATGTCGTCGTCGGACTCGTCGGTCACCACGTAGATGGGCCCGCCCAGCCCGCCCACGGCCCGTCTTCCGAACCCTTTGCCGCATTTCGCCAACTTGTAACGGTCGTTCGCCCAGTTAGGGTCACACCTCCAGCATGTGTCTATTGGGTTTGTCGCCTCACATGCCTCATCTCCTGTCTTCCTCTGCCTTAGTTCCCTCCTCTTCAGTGTCGCGTTATTCAATGCCCTGCATTGAACACAAAAAATCTAATATCAAATCATGAATTTATCAGATGAGCAGCTCAACAAGTATCATGGTTGACAAGTGGATCCAAATTTAAGATTCTTTGTGTTGAAGGTTTTCTAACGATAACTCTATATGGAAGAGAGTTTAACATGAAAGGTTAAAAGATGTGTCTTATTGTCGTGAGGTCATGATGGAGTGTTAGTACAAGTACTTAGAGCATGAGTGAGCTCTATGGCATTATCGGATAATACTCGTAAATTAATAATTTCTGTTGCAAAGGATAAACTATGATCTCTTGTTTCAGAAGAAGATTGTTAGGATGTAAGCAAAATTTTACATCATTCAAACAAAAAGATGGACATGAATTTATATATACAGTATTGTTTTTATTAGTAGAAAGATCTTTTAGATAGTATTCAAAAGTAAAATCATGAGTTTTAGAGTTCAGAAGGGACAATATCTTAGAAACATACATACATGAGTATATGTTAAACACAAAATAAATGATACTAAAACATGTTTTTGAACTAGAATTCATGCAAGCATATATGTTGCAACGTATACGTACAAGTGAACATGGAAATTGAGTTCATCGGTGACATCTATAGGCGATGGGATGTAGGACTCTAGAGCGCGTTTTTCTGCTTCTGCAGCTTGGGCTTTCAGAAAATCATCGAACTCACCAATGCCAGCCTCAAGGCATGGAATAATGGCGAAAGTGGCCAAGAGGATTAGAGCAACCTTATTTGCACTTCCAACCATTATTCTTCCCATGCCTTGTGCTTTTCTTTTTTTCTTACCTTGGCTCTCAAGACGTGGCTCTTTTTGCCTTTTTTATTTTTTATTTTTTTTATTTTTTTAGGCAAGGTTTAGCCAAGGTCTTGGGATTTGTTGGTTAAGCCCTTAACGCTCAAAATCAACAAGACCTTGGCACGCCTGTACCACTCAAACCAAAGTAATTACTTGGGCACTTAGCATAATGCTTGGTTGAGTCCATCCTTCATATAGCACCAACATGCTTATATAACAATGGTGGCCCTTGAAAAGTGTCGTATGCTTTCAAATTTAGCCGCGCAAAGAGTGCCCAATTATTCGTTCTGTTTTAGAAAGTTTAATTGTAGTATTAGTTTGATTTGATGCATTCTTTGACAGTTTTCCAAATATTCAATGTTTTATTATTGGCCTCATGACTTTGTCAACATTGCCAGAATGGTACATAATGCACTCCTTTGGAGAAAATATTGGATTGTATATTTTTCCCACCCTTTGGTTTAGTTGGTCAACAATAATTTATAGTATATATATATATATA